CGGGCACAGGTCACCTTGGTGGTTGTGAAGATTAAAGAAATGAGAATGGTCCTCTCAATCAAACTAGTTCTGCATGCACCATCTACTGTAGCTCATAACCTTCTCGTGTGGAATCTAATACGCAACAATCGCTGGTCAAAAGGCCAGTACAAAATATGGAGGAACGAGGTAGAAACAGATCTATTTTCAGCTAGGAATATTTCCCGCGCCTTATAGCGAAACTGTTGTAAGACCGTAAACACGACGGATATCACAGATTCGAGACGTTGTGCTTGTGCAAAGGGTCAAGGTGATCATCTCACCCAACACAAACTAACTGGAGTTCAACCCTTGAGGTTGTTTGTTTGCCTGAGAATCGGGACCCTCCCTGAAGTCTCGAAAAACCGCTGCGCTCCAACATGAGAGGAACAGCTACCTGAGCAGACGACGGATTGTTGTGTCGGTGAGTGGATGAGAGGTCGGACCAACGAATGGAGGTACTGTCCAAATTAAGACCACGCGAATCAGCGAAAATCGATTTTTTCTGGAATCATTTTTTGCTTGTTTAATATTTGAATGTACACAAAGCGATGGAGTTACATACCTGATGCTCCTCACGAAGCAATACACTGAAAGCTTTGCCCATGCTCGATCTGAAGACTAGCGAACAGTGGCGTCTCTGAAAGCACTTAACTCATGTAGCAACTAAACTCTGCAGCAAATGTTTATCACAGAACGAAAACGTATGCAAAAAACCATTAAATACTGATGAAAGGCTTTTTTGCCGTTGAACATCAGCGTCTTATAATTATCTCTCAAACAACAATATTTAAATCGATATTTTGTTCCCCACGAACAGGCAGGTATTCCAAACATACTTTTAAACGAATGGTTTTTGAACATCGCAAACAGGCGCACAAAGTATATATGAACGTTCTTGCCAATTATTTTTCATTGTCCCAAATAACTAAGCATTTGAATGTCTGCTGATTCAGTGCCAAGAAGAAGACGAACGATAAATTATTGATTTTAGTCAATTTCCCTTACAGACTTGGCTTGAAAACGGTAGTGAGATCGACGCTGGATAACGAAAATACTTTCTGACCTCGGTTCCTCCAATCCTCTCTCAATCTTAAGCGTTTTTCGAGAGTGACTTTTAACAACCTAATCAGGGTACCAGCTATCCTGAAGTACTGCTGGTGTGTCCTCAAACTTCATCTATCCTAACGAACTCAGAGAAGCGAAGCATTTTGCAGGGTTTTGGTCACGGATAGATATCGTGGACCAGTGGCGACATCTCAACCTATCGAAGCTCGCTCCTGCACCACTTCCAGACGCTCATTTCATCGCGAGAAAGCTTCAGTCAGTAATGGCCACAACCATTTAAAGTGACGTTTGTGAGAGGGCATCTAAAGCATTTATTAATCATAAACTATACAAGGATATATGCATTAGAAATGCAGATGAACAGCGAATGACTCTTCCTAAACCATTCCGGTTGTGGAGACATCATTCATTGACTGACATGCTCATGTATGCGAACATAGCGTTGATGTTTACGCCGAGAAGCAAGTAACGGTAATGCTTCAGTGGTTTCTAACAATTCAGGTTCAATAAGTGAATTTGCCTGCATTTTTTTTGGATCACCGTAGTATCTTATTGCAATCCAATCCTACCGCTAGACCAGTTCACAAATTGCGTGCTTTGCTGCAAAGAAGACTCTTGACGATGGACTGGGCCAGAATTTCTTCCCTGCTTTAAACTTTAAAAAACTGTTTAAAATTTAATTCTATCTACGTGCACTTATTCTTACCTTCATGAAAAATCGATAAACATAGCATTATTTTAAGGCCACTGCTTCCACTTTCAACATAACCAAGTTGCTGGCAAACATGTTCAAGCCTTTAACATAGCAAAGCTACTCTATAGAAACAGCTGCAGCCAAATGAGCAAAGAATTGAAAGAGACTGGACAGGTCACAGGAATTGAGTATTTGGCTTGTTCGTTAATGGTCGCACTGAAAACAACATAAAACACGGTTGATTTAACGACCACGTGCACAATTTGATGAATCGGATGATTGACCACTACCGACGTTTCCACTCAACTCTCACGGTCTACTTCAGGGTAAAGAGGTGGGTCACCTCCGCTAGTCCATTTTGTCGTTCTCAGAGGTGAGCAACAAAACTCACCGTGCTGTTGGTTAACTGTTCTGAGCGACAAAACTCATCGAATCTGAGCAGTTTTTGAATTCTTTCTCACGGTTGACTTCATCGTAGGACCGGAAGATTAACGACTCTTTGAGACATCCCTCAAATGGTTAGAGTCTACCAACATCATGAAAATAGTTACACTCGCTGAATAGGAATTATTTAGCAGTAATCTTGTTAATTATACTATTTACCGTATTAATGAATTGTTATTCAAGCGCGATCTTCCAGGCACCTGACATATTCTTCCTACGGTAGAGGTGGGCCTAGTTCGCCCACGAGAGTACCAGTCGACAATCAGTGCCGATCATCTCTCGTAGTTTAGGCGAGTTACGAGTCCGGCACACCCCAGTCTTCCTATTATGTTTTCACCGAGGACTTCCTTCGCTTTGTCCGCTGTCTGATCGCCGTTTCAGGGATGTGGTCGCGACGCCAGGTTCCCACCATCTTTCTCTGTACGGTTCTGTCGGGGGACAGAGGGCTGAGGCTCCTAGGCTGTCGCTACTGACCACGTCTTACAGTCATGAGATACCGCTGGCAGGGTGGGCATGTGTCCAGCTATTCCAATGGGAAATGAAATCATCGTTCTTGCGACGAGCGCTCGCCACATAATCAACTAGCGGCTGCGTAAAACGAAAGCCCAAGAGACGGTGAGGCAGTTGGTCGTTCTGTTTTGTCATCATCGTCTTCAGTCGATCTTCAAAACTTCATATTGCTTAAGACTAATCATGTCCTTTCAGCTGAACACAGGACATCTCTCAAAC